TGGGATTATGTGTACAAGCTACCATGCCTAGCTTATAAGAAAAACTAGGTCAAGCCTGGAATCCTGGGGCGGGGCTTGCACGAGGAAGGTGGATTGGGGAGCAGAGTCTCTGACTCTGACTGAGTTTATGTAGAGGAAAGCACACTCGGCGGTGTGTGTGTGGGGGAGTCCAGAACAGATGCATGGGCTTAGGCTTTAGATTATCCATTGGTGCTTTCTGCCCTGAGTACAGGGCATGCATGTGCTCCCCGTCATATGTGGTCTCCAGGTTCTGTTCCGAGGTGCAGATCACTCTTTGGATCATCTGCTTTACTTAGTTCCTTTTTGATAACCACGAAACTGAGGTTCAGTATCATCCAACCTAAGGTCATGCTTAAATGGCAGATCTCTATTTCCACCACTGTGATTTGAAGCATGTACATCACAAAACAGAATGTGTCTGTTCTTTCAGAACCCAGTCCTGAGCGTTTGAAGGCTGAGAACCCTCATACCTTGATAATACTACTTGGATGCAAGTGACTTTGTCAACAACACACAATGAGTGCTAGATGCATGGTGTGCCGGGACACAGCGGTGACAGAGACACTGCTCTTGATCTAGAAGGAACCACACTTGGTACTAACATAGACAAATACACAGTGCATATACCCTAGGAAAGAGAGAGTTTGCAGGGTGGGTTTTTAATCAGGATGAAGCCCAGTGATGAAGGGAAGATTACTGTTCATGGTGGGCCATTGCGGGGTGGAGGTCCACATTGCTTAAATAGTAACACTGAGAAGAAGAAGAAGAAGAAGAAGAAGAAGAAGAAGAAGAAGAAGAAGAAGAAGAAGAAGAAGAAGAAGAAGAAGAAAGGATTGTTTAACAACTGTTGGCTGGGAGTTTCCCCAACATCCCAACAAGGAGGACTTACTAATTAAGAGCTAAAGCACTCACCTGTTAGGAAGCTGTTACACTCACAACTCATGGCTGATTTTATACATCCGTGTGCAAAGAATTTCACCAGCTGTCATTCATGAACTCAGATAGTCATTTGACAAATATTTACGGAGCGCCCACTCTGCTTGGGAGATGTGGAGGTGGACAAGATAGACAGCATTCCTGCCTTCCAGAAGCTCTCGTTCTACCAACGGACAATGAAGACGTCACTAACGAAATAAATGCAGTTATTACAGGGTGTGGTGATAGTTATGAAAGAAAGTGTTGTCTGGTGAAGGGTAACTGGGGGAATCTTCCCAGAAAGAGTGGTGTAATGTGGGGCTTTCATTGATTTATTTATGATGTTTGGACAGTATCTCGCTATGTAGCCCTGGCTGGCTGTGAACTCACAGAGAACCACTCGCCTCTGCTTCACAAGTGGTAGAATTTTAGACATTTGCCACCATGCCTGGTCCAAGGCAGGACTTCTTAAACTTCTTTACACACAGTCCCTTTTCACCTGAGAAATCTTTACATGACCTCAGGTCTATACAAAATATTTATACTCAATAGATATACAAATAAAAATTTTACTGCCAATAAATGATAAAGTTATCAGTGTGTGTGTGTGTGTGTGTGTGTGTGTTCGTGATCACACCTTGCCATGCAAGGACCCAGCACGGTACCAGGGAAACAGAGGTGAGAGGGTCAGTAGTTCAAGGCTATCCTCTGATACATAGTGAGTTTGAGGCTAGTCCTGTCTCAAAAAAATATACTTTGGGTGAATGTTTGTTACTGCAGGTAGAGCATGTTGGGCATTTTTCAGAGCTGATCAACATTTTGACTTTATAATTGACAATGTGGAGAATACCACATACATTGTCGTACACAATGGCAGAAGTATGTTTCAGCCATTTCAGAAACTGTTAGGAATTTCATCCTAATCCCAAATCCAAGTTCACTGAATGCTACAGGTTGCAGGAAAATATTATAAGAACTCAGCTGGTTATGGCAAAGTCACTACCTGGAGGGACCAAGGATTTCCTCCAGAGGAAGCCAAATTCCAAGGAGCTTTAGGTGTTATTTGGCTTGTTATATATCAGCTATCTTCTGTTATGAAAATCATGTGTGCCTTCATAGTTTTCCCAATTGATTTTTCCCTAAGAATTGCTAACAGTGTGGACTGATCACTCTTTGGACATACACATTCCAGGCATTTGGAGAACAGCCTCAGGAAAGCCCCGCCCCCCCCCAGCCCATCCGTTTCTCCCCGTTCAGCACTGGAATCAGATATCTCCCTTAGCCACTTTCAAGGACTAACAGAAATAACTGTCCAGACCACCACATAATAAGTCTCCTGATTAAAAGTAAATTCCACAAGGAGACACTGCCTAGGTCAGGTGGACCTTAAGTAATAGCTTTACACAATTTAGCTTGGACCCTCCTTTCTCACGGCCTTACTAACTTTATAGACCCCTAACTTCTTACCTAACCACTTCACAGAATGTAGACTGAGCACATAGACCCCTTTTTCATATGCTAACGGTCATTAGCACTCAGTTGTCCTCCTCTTTCACCTCTCCCATTTTGGATTATAAAAGAAAGCCTGGTGGTCACTGCCTGAGGAAAATTCTTACCTGCCTTTATGACCCTGTAGAATTCAAGCCTGGTGACCTTGCTCAGCCAGAGCATTGCTATTGCTTGGGTTTATAACTGGATTCCTGGGAGACTTAGAACTGAGAGAATAAGGAGACGGAGAAGAGAAAAGAGAATGGAAGAACTAGATGAGTAAGAACTTGAGAGGAACAAACTGAGATGGGGAAGAACTAGATTGAGGGGCTAGAAGAGAGGACCAGAGGAACGAGATGGGAGATGAGGAAGAGCCAGATGGGGAAGAACAAGATGAGGAAGAGCCAGATGAGAGAGAAGGAGATGGGAGAGGAGCTGATATGGGAAAACACTAGATGAATGAGAACCTAGAAGGGGCAGAACTAGATGAAGGAATTAAGATAGAACCTAGAGGTGAATGCAGATTAATGTAGAGAGGAATCAGGCAAGGGAGGAGCTAAAAATGAGAGCAGAATAGAAGCTGTGTAGAGAGAGAACTAACACAGAATAATAAAGTGTATGGACTAAGGAGTTTCGTGTACATAGATTCATTTCTTCTCATCAAAGATTAATTACCAGCTGGTTGTAGATTCTTCCTGGACCCTGGGAGGGGATTATTGAGGGGCTGGACCCCCCATAGTCCTCGATAACTGAACAATTTTTAAATGATATGCAAGCAACTCAAATAGCAGTCTTTTCAAGTCAAACATTATGACATAAAGCAATCCAAAGTTATATTAATTTGATAGTAACATGATAAGGAACAGTGGAGAGAAAACTTTCTTTCCTACAGTCAAACCACTCTGTTCCTGTGAGGGGATCAACTGTGTACATCCAATATAAACACTGCAATTTTATCATGCAGTAGTCTGCAGCCTGAGCCACGGTGTTTCAGGCCATGTTTATGGGTGTTTCAGGCTGTGTTTGGGGGTGTTTCATGGTATGATGGCTCATGGACTGAGCATAAAGTGAGGATGCTGTGTGATTCAAGTCAAAACTACAGAGAAGTCTTGATGCAACACTTATTGGTAGACTAGTACTACCAATAAGGCCTCAGATTCATGATGAGTTTGGTTTTCAATTAATTTTGCTATTATCAAGAGCCATGGACACGTGACTTGCTAGTGTTAGACTTGAGGTTGGAACTCCGAATTTGGCTGTGTGAACCCCTTAACACATCGAGAAGGAGCCATTTCTAACAGTCAAGCACTCAAACTATTTATGTTTTTTGTTTTTTTTTTTTTAACTGAGTGACTGACTTTCCTTCCTTGAAATGTCTCCTGCTTAGTGTTCCAACTAGCTCCAAGTTCTTCTAAACTCTGGTTGGAAAGCAGCTCAACTTGGACCGAACGTTGCTGACACTACTCTCAGCTAAATGTGGAAATCAGTGTGGCACAGGCTGGTTACCAGAGGGAACTGCAGACTCGTGTTCAGAGTGCAGGGTCATGTTTTGCTGAATAGCCTCAGAAGTTGCACAATGTGGGGAGGCAGGCCTTCAGAGAGGTGGGGGCGGGACTTGGGCTCCCACACCTGTTGCCCACACTTGCTCACATGACTGGTTCACGGCTCTGAAGGAAACCAGTTGAGGAATGAGGCCTGGGAAGGTCAGGTATCACCGGATTATTACTGGCAAGTCCTCACACCAGTACCACTGCATGGCTTTTGTAAAAAATTGAAGTATACACAGCAAGGACCAGAGTTGGCACAGGACACAGCAAGACCAAGCACAAAGGAGATTTATTTGCCCCAGAGGGACAAAGGGCAGGGAATAAGAGACAGAGACAGGAGAGAGAGGGCAAAGGAGGAGGGAAGGGAGGACCAAGGCAGTGAGGGGAAGGGGTATTTGTTGTTGAGGGGGGTTGATGGGGAATGGGACACAAAGGACTGCCTCTGGATAGAGAGGAGACAAAGTCCATAGCAAGTGGCAGTTTATAAAGGGAAAGGGGAAACCCCATGTTAGGAGGAGTTGGTTTGTTTTGATTGGGCACGTTAATTAGGACAGCCAAAAGGGAGCTTTTGATTGCTGGACTTCAATACTTGGATGGCTGGACCTTGGTGGTCAGCCCCAGGAGGAAGAAGTAGCCAGTCTGTAAGGCAATGGCCCTTGGTGGCTAGTTTTAGGAATGTAATCTATGGTTTAGGACGGAGGAGGAAAGGGCAGGGCCTGCCAGAGCCATGTTTGCCATGCTCCAGCCTATTAGAGCCCTTCATACACCCGAGACCAGGTCAAAAAGATGACAATTTGAAAAGATGTGACTGTCATAATGGATGAACAGCATGTGTCTGTCTGCAAAGGAAGCAGACACAATTCCTTTCCTTGCAGTTTAGTAGGAATCCAGGGCCTGGAGGTGGGAGGGGCAGCAGCAACATCATTTATGGAGTGCTACACATGGTAGAGCTTGAATGGAAGGAAAGGCTTCCCTCTAAAGCCCAGAGAAGAGTGTCATTAAGAATGTGAAAGAGAATGCCGGGCGGTGGTGGCGCACGCCTTTAATCCCAGCACTCAGGAGGCAGAGCCAGACGGATCTCTGTGAGTTCGAGGCCAGCCTGGGCTACCAAGTGAGCTCCAGGAAAGGCGCAAAGCTACACAGAGAAACCCTGTCTCGAAAAAACAAACAAACAAACAAACAAACAAACAAAAAGAATGTGAAAGAGAGAGCTAAGGAGAGAGGCAGACAGAGGGACGGGTCTGGGAGGCAGCTAGAGGCAGATCTCAGAACATCTTTCCCGCGGTGTCCCTTAGGAGTGTCACACCGATCCCTAGAACAAAGGGAAAGTCTGGTTTTTATAACCTTCTAGAGGTGACAGAAGTTTCTCACCCTATGGTTTAGTTCAGTGTGGGCTACGAGACAAGGAGCTGGGTGCCATAAACTAAGAGCTGTCAAGTCCCTGCAGTGACTTGAGCCTCTGTCCTCGAGAGAGCTGTGGAGAGGCGAGGCCTGATTCGGGTTACGGGATGGGGCTTAAGGGTTCTGTGTTCTAATCGTGACGGAAGTTTAAAATGATGGAAACTATGAGCCAGGTTGTATGCACACGTTTTCTAACTCCCCAAGGTAGTGGAATGGAGATCAGAACGGCTTGGAGGACCTGCCAGGGCAGTGAATGCACGAAACCACGAATTTAACCAACCTAGATGACTTAACAGGTCTCAAACTGGCACAAAGTCTTGAGTGGGATACTGATAGTCAGTCATCTGAGTGGCTTTATCTAAGGGCACTCCTGGGCCAGAAGTTTGTAAGTCCCTCCAGTTCGGTACTTCTGCCTTTTACTACAAGGAAGTTTGCTTGCTAACAGTGAGTAAACAGGCCGGGTGGTGGCGGTGGCGGCGGCTGCGGCGCATGCCTTTAATGCCAGCACTCGGGAGGCATAGACAAGCGAATCTCCATGAGTTGAGGCCAGTCTGGTCTTCAGAGTTCCAGGACAGCCAGGGCTACACAGAGAAACTCTGTCTTGGAAAAAACAAAACCAAAACCCAAATAAATAAATAAATATATAAAAAAAACAGTAAGTAAACAGAAAAGAGTAAGAGCATACGTAGAAAACTTTTCTCTCATCTACCAGGCACGCATACTCAAAGACGCTAGAAAAGGAGGTGCGTGCATGAAGCCAACCTTTTTCCTAGCAGCGTGATTTAGGCAAGTTGCCTAATTTCTTCTAAACCTCACTTATTCGTCTGTTAAAAACAAAAAACAAAAAGTCAAAAAACAAAACAAAACAAAAAAAAAAAACAATAGTAATGAGCATTTCTTTAGTGCAAATCCGCAGTCTCTAAAGAGCTGAGCGCAGAACGGAGCGCTGGCTGCACAGGGGCCACGCCCCCTCCGGCCTGCTCATCTCTGATTGGCCCCCTCGGAGGGGCGGGACCCCGGCGGGCTCCAGTTACCCGGGCAGGGTTAGGTGGCGGGGCAGCGACTCTGCAGACGCCGCCATGGCTGGCAGTGCTCTTGGGCCTGCGCGCTCCCTGCTCGCCGCCCTTCTGGCGCCGGCGCTGGTGGCACT